AAAAAATTTATTTTACCATAACTTTTAGCTCAATTGGTAAGTTTGACATTGACATAATTAAATAGAAAATTTTATGACAATTAAAAAAATTGTATCGTTAAGATCAATATGCAGTCAGAAAGTTTTATAATTACTATTTATTGTAAATTTATCAGAAAAGCTCAATATTTTTTTGCATTTTTATGGTAATAGATAACTTAAATAGAAGTAATAGTAATAATTTCCTAGGAACTTTTGTTGTTTGTTGAAAAGATTCTATAATTGAAATATTGAGAACTTAATTAATTTTAATGATTTACTTTAACTAAATGTACCAATCAAAACAAAGTTGTTAAAAAGATTTACTCAATTGAGTTTATTATAAAATTTGATTATATTTGTAAAAATCAATTGTTAATTCAGGAGAAAAAACAATCATTTTTTTTAGAAATGATTTATATAGCAACACGTTAGAAAAAAATTTGAATATTATAGTCTAATAGTAGCACACACAAACAGAGTAATAAAATTATTAAATTACAAAGTAAAATGATTTAATTTTGTAGTTGAAACCTATCATATCAAACTTCATTCGTTAATAAATATTTTGAAAACATTAGAAATTAATGATTTTAATTGTCTTTATGGAGACGATGTAATAACTAACTGTTTAATTGATAAATTAGAATTTTTTTTTCAATTTTTGAGAGTAATATCTTCAACTAGATACGAATTGTAGTAATTTGACGTATTGTTGAAAAAAGTAGGTCAAGTTAGAGCAGAGAAAATAAATGATAGTCACAAAAAAATATCTTCTCGGCTTTGCATCGAAGCGAAAACTTAAAATATAGTAAAATAATTTTAATACGAATAAGAAATTTCTTCTTGCAAGGGGCGACTAAAGTGATGGGATCCTTGATCTTTATTGAAGTTATTGAATCTAAATGTGATAAAAATCAAACGAGTTAAAATTTATACTAACTTAAAAAGAATTAAGAAAAAATGCAAAAAATTCATTGCCATATGCGGGTTGGAACCTCGTACCCCAAGCGTGTAAAACATAAATTTTACCAACTCGGCAACCGTACGTTGCTTCCGGCGGTTGAAAAATTGGCTATTTAAGCTAGTTCAAATTTCAAAGTTATTTTTCTCGACTTAAAAGAAACAAACATATTTAAATAAGTTTAACTATCTATACTATATCAATTTTAATTTATATAATATTTATGAAAATCTGTACTCCCCTTGTCAGGTATTTTAAAATAAAATAAAATACAAAACCCAGAATTTTAACACAAAAATAGCATATTTTTGCATACGGTAGTCATTTTTACCATGAAGACAAATCCAGAGGTCAAATTTTTTTTTTTCACATTAAAGTATATTACATAAGCTTTAATTTAAGATATATTTAAAAGTGTCAGTATTTCCGGAATACTTTCAAAAATTAAATTGAAAATATCGTAGTAACAATACGCATGTTTAAAGTTTTGACCCCCCTTGTTAAAGGGGTATGATCCGATTTACAAAAAAAGCGTGCCAGATGAAAGGGGTATATAAATATTTATTATAAAAAAATAATAATATTGATCCATACATTTTTCCAAAAGTTATATAAAATATAAATTAAATAATATAACATATAAAATCGAGATTTTTTTCACGGAAATCGTACGTTTTTCTTTAACTTTGATGTCCGTTTTCACCACGAAGACAAGTCCAGAGGTCAAATTTTTTTTTTTCAAATTAAAGTATATTACATAAGCTTTAATTTAAGATATATATAAAAGTGTCAGTCTTTCCGGAACATTTTCAAAAGTTAAGTTGAAAAAGTTCTACTTTCTATACGCATTTTAAAAGGTTTGCACCCCCCCTGTATAAAGGGAAATGGTCCGATTTTAAAAAAAAGTATGTCGAATGAAAGAAGTATATATAAAGTATTTATCATTAAAGAATAAAGTTGATTCATGCATTTTTTAAAAAGTTATAGCAACATAATGTTAAAAAATGTAAAATATAATATCAAGAATTTTTTCACAAAAATAGCATATTTTTGCATACGGTAGTCATTTTCACCATGAAGACAAGTCCAGAGGTCAAATTTTTTTTTTTCAAATTAAAGTATATTACATTAGCTTTAATTTAAGGTATATATAAAATTGTCAGTCTTTCCGGAACATTTTCAAAAGTTAAGTTGAAAAAGTTAATTTTTTGTAAAAAAGTTACCATTTTGAAACCCCATCCTTTGGGCTGTTAAAGGGTCAAATGTTCACAAAAATATATAAAATGATAGGTAATTATCTAAGGTATCTATAAAAAAAAAAATTATATTGATTCGGTCATTTTTAAAAAAGTTATGGCAATTTTAAGTAAAAAAAAATGAAAAAATATCGAAAATTAGCGATTTTTAAATTTGTAATTTTTTGGGGGATTTCCCCCGTTTACGAGGAACGAGGGATTTTTTTTCAATTTTTGAGGGTAATGTCTTCAACTAGATACGATTTGTGATCTTTTGACATATTTTTCATCAAAATCGATTCAATGAGAGCTGAGATTGAGCGTATACAGACAAAAAAAAAAAAAAAAACACATCATAGTAAAATTAATACCTTCTCAGCTTCGCATCGAAGCTAATATACAGAACTGAATTATTTCAAAGATATTTTTTTAATAAAAAAAAACCAAAATATTGATAAAAAAATTTACTCAATAGAGTGTATTAAAAAATTTGATTACAATTGTAAAATTTTTTTGTAAAATTAAGGTGAAACTAAAAATCATTTTTTTTTAGATTTATGATATATATAGCAACTTGTTACCAAAAAATTTGGAATATAATAAACTAATTGTAACACACAAATAAAGTTAAGAAATTAATATATAATAAAGTTAGATAATTAAATTTTTTAGCTGAAACCTATTATCATATCAAAACTAATTCCACAATAAATACTTTCACAACATTAAAAATGAATGATTTTAATTGTCTATATGGAGAATGTGAGCTAGGTAAATTTTTCTGTAATATTATATTATTACTTATAATATTAACATAAATATGGTGTTATTATTTGTACATGTATGTCAAATAATATGATTATACAAGATCACCAAATCAGGGTTCTCTTATTTAAAATACAAAATAACCCTTCAATTACAGGATAAAATCTACTTATTCTTGTAGTATAATTATAAACACATGTACTAAATATCACATATACAGGGTGATTTTTTTATCATAACCCACTGAATTACTTGCAGAATAATAATAATTTAAACATTTTTTTTTTTTTATTATTTTTAATTACACATTATTCTTGAATTTTTAACTATGTAATACTTTTTAAGTTCATCCCTTATGACTTGGAGGGAGGTCAACTTTGTTTTTTTAAATGGTAACACATATTTTTAATTTAATAAAATGTTTGAGTTTTTAATTTAATAGTAAATGGCATTTGAATTTTTAATATAACTTTATTAGTTTATTAGATAAAACATTTAAAGTTTCAAATTTTTGAGTTAATATATATGTATAATACACATGGGATTGTAAATACAGGTAGCTAATTGGATTTTTATGACATTGCTGTCTCAGTCACGGATTGTTTATTATCAATTATTATTATCAATAGATATACTTTCTGTATTGTCAGTTAGTGTATTTATAAACTCATAATAATGTGCCTTACTACAATTGATAATAACAATGCTGTGTACCTGCTAATATCGATGTTATAAAAATCCAATTGGCTACCTATATTTGTAATTCCTTGTGTATTATACCTGTATATTAATTCAAAAATTTGAAACTTTAAATGATTATATCTAATAAACGAATTAAGTTATATTAAAAATTCAAATGCCATTTACTATTAAATTAAAAACTCAAACATTTTATTAAATTAAAAATATGTGTTACCATTTAAAAAAACAAAGTTGACCTCCCTCCAAGTCATAAGGGATGAACTTAAAAAGTATTACATAGTTAAAAATACAAGAATAATGTGTAACTAAAGATAATGAAAAAAGAAAATGTTTAAATTATTATTATTCTGCAAGTAATTCAGTAGGTTATGATAAAAAAATCACCCTGTATATGAATAAAGCAATAAATCATCTAAGGAATGTTTCCCTTTTTGGGTAATGAAAATAACTATTTATCAACACATGTTTCAAACCAGTACCCTACAATTCATTAACTACGCCCACGGAANTAAATGAGTAAATGTATTGAAAGAATATAAAACAATAAACTGTATTTTAACATAAACTAAAATATTATATATATCAATGTGGGTAGGGGGGTCCTTAATGCTAATGCCACAATGCGTCAAATAAAACAAACAATAAGATAAAAATATGACAAAACGATATAACTAATAACTACTTATCTATACTGATGATGACTGGTTGATGCGAATGAAATCGTTGGAATGATCATTGAACCAGAAAATGTATTGTTGCGAATAGTATGGGCGTATCGCAAGGGCGATAAAAACAATAACGCACAAAGGTGTGACAATCGCAAGGGCGATATATAAGCACTTTTTTCAACAACTACGGGCTCGCAAGCACCGTAGAGCCATACAACAAAAAAACAACGAGGATGGCAGCGAAAACGCAAAATGTCATACAAGAACCAATAATAATAAGGCGAGTCACAAGAGTCACGCACGTAAACATCCAATCTAATGAATTCCTCGCACAACCGGTGGTGGCAGCGCGAGTGGCGCTATTAGTCACAGCAAAATCGGTAAAATACGCCCTCTTGTGATGTGTAACTAACATACTCCCGACGTTGAAAGCTAAAGCTTTCAAGACAACTTATTGATATCCTCAATTGAAAATTGAACTTAAAATCTATCTTAAACTTAAACTAAAATATGTACATAGTTATATTAAAGGATTATTAAAGAAATCTGGAAAGAATAGGATAAATATAAAACTTGTTAGATGTATTAATTATTCACGGGTAGTTTGACTAGTTTCACTACCGGTCTTTTGACATCACCGTCTGCAGTTTATACGGTAGCCACGCGTACTACTTGGTCTAAGCCTGGATGGACTGCTATAATACGGCCCATTTTCCATTCGGCCGGTGGGCGATTTGGAGCTTCAACAATGACAAGATCTCCAATTTTTATATTTTCTTCTTTTGTTGTCCATTTAAGTCGGCCTTGAAGTGTCGTTAAATACTCACTTAACCAACGTTTCCAAAACGATTGGTGCATTTGACGAATCAATTGCCAGCGTGTTAATCGGTTCATAGGTACTGCAGTAACGTCAATTTCGGGTAAAGACAAAATAGGTTGTCCTATTAAAAAAATTGCCGGGGGTTTATGCGAGTAGATCATGAGGATCTGCTGAAGCTTGTGTCAGAAGACGAGAATTGAGTATACCTTCGATACGAATTACTAACGTTTCCATTTCTTCATAGGTTAGTACTTGAATTCCGATAACTCGTTTTAAATGGTGTTTTACACTCTTAATGCCAGCCTCCCATATTCCACCCATATGAGGGGCGGCGGGAGGATTGAAATGCCAATTACATGGGATTCGTGCGATCATTGCGTTTTGTACGGCCTCATTCGCAAAAAGAGATTTTAATTGACGCGGCGCTCCAATATAATTGGTACCGTAATCGCTATATAAGTTTAACGGAATTCCTCGACGTGCTACAAACCGGTCAAGGGCGGCAAGAAAAGCGTCCGAAGTTAAATCTGAAACGATTTCAATGTGTAGTGCCTTTACGGCCATACAAATAAAAAGTGCTATGTATACTTTGGTGGTTTTAGTGTTGCGATGGCGTCGTTCCTTTATTAAATAGGGGCCTTCTTAATCCATACCGATGTCTTGAAAGGCACGTTGTGAACAAACTCGAGAAATTGGCAGATCTCCCATCATTGGATGTGGGTGAGTGGCCTTATGTCTTACACAAATTGTACACGTAAAAATAAACTGCCGTACGGCATCACGACCGGAAATAATCCAAAACTTTCTCCTTATCATTGACAAAATCAATTTCAGTCCAGCATGTAAATATCCATTGTGATAGTGTTGAATTATTAAACGTGTAAAATGCGAATTTTTAGGTAACAGTATGGGATGTTTTGCATCTGGACCTAATGACGCGTAGCGGAGGCGGCCGCCGACACGAATTAGACCAGTCGCGTCAACAAACGGCGCTAGTTGAGCGAGAGAACTCGGTGTAACTTGATTATGATTAAGTAACTGTTTTCTTAAATTTTTGAAATATTCTTCTTGTGTCAATAAGGCTGCCTTTTGTAACATGACGTTTAATTCAAAATAAGTTAGTGTCCCTGTGGGCATGGGTTGACGGCGGGCCTTAAAAGTCAAGCGATAAATGTAAGCGAGCGATCGTTGCATTCTTTGTAATGTAGAAAATCGGTGTAAAATTTGATCGGCGGCGATTTCTGTGTCGATGGTAGTGAGAACTACTATCTTTTGTTGATAATCCGGCAATTGTTCAGGCTTCAATAGATCGTAATTATGCCGCGGCCATTGTTCGGCAGGTAATCGTAAAAATGTTCTCTATGAATGTGACATAATACGGTATTATATGGTAGTAGACCGCGCGATGCCGGGTCCGCGGGATTGTCGACCGTGTTGATATATGACCATTTACAATCCGGTATTAATTGCTGTATTTTAGCAACTCTGTTTGTTACGAATACCTTAAAGGATTTCTGGCTAACAGTTAACCATGATAATACGACGGTTGAATCGGTCCACGCATACATTTTTGAAATATCAATATCTAAACTGTTTTTTACGCGATTCAACGTTGTAGCAAGTAATAACGCGGCACATAATTCGAGGCGCAGCACCGTAATTTGGCACTTACTGGTTTTAATTGGCGCTACCTTTGTCTTACATGTAACAAAATTTGTCGTAGCATGACCGGAGATGTCTACTATTCGCAAATAAACAACGGCCGCGTAACCACGTAATGAAGCGTCGGAGAATCCTACTAATTCTATTTTTGAATATGCGCGTATGTCAATATGTCGAGGTAATCTGATCTGGTCGATGGATGGCAATTCTGTTACGAACTGATTCCATGACGTATTTAACTCCTCTGGTAGCTGACTGTCTCAATCAAGACCCGATTGCCATAACGTTTGCATGAATGACTTTGCCCATAAAAGTGTGGGTCCGAGCGTACCTATAGGGTCGAAAAGTCTGGCGATTGTAGAAAGTACCTTACGTTTCGTATAAAGATGATCGGGTTGAATGTTAGTATGATAAGCAAACATATCCGATGTAGGATCCCAATGCATACCTAATACCTTTACAGATGTATCAGTATTCTTTGGGTCTAAAAATAACAGTGCTGAGCGATCAGTACAATTTACTTGCTGAAGTATTTGAGACGAATTACTTGTCCACTTTTTTAGAGAGCAGCCACATGTCTTTAATAGCCCAATCAAATCGCTCTGAATTTTTAATAATTCATCCACAGTGTCAGCGCCGATCACAATATCGTCGACGTACGTGGATTTAGTCAATACACCTTTTGCAGCAGGAAAATCAGGTCCATTTTGAGCGTCTAGCTCATGTAAGCATTTTATGGCGAGGTATGGAGCTGAAGTAACACCATACGTAACTGTGCATAACTCATATTCGATAATCTCAGACTCAACGGAGTCACGCCACAAAATATGTTGATACCGGCGGTCTGCGTCTCGCACTAATACCTGGCGATACATTTTTGTAATATCAGCAGTTAACATAAAACGTTTAAGCCTATTCTTTTGGATAATGTCGAATATATCGTTTTGAAGTTTAGGACCGGCTAATAATACATCATTCAAGGAATAACCGGTTGATGTGGCGGCACTCGCGTCAAACACCACCCGTAATTTTTCGATATTTTCGCCATCGCGTTTTACTACGGCATGATGTGGTATGTAGTAATAACCCGGTTGAGTGGCTGGTCTCATATGACCAAGATTGACATATTCAGCCATGAATGCGCGGTACTCGGCATATAGTACCGGATCTTTGATTAATCGCATTTCTAAATTATAAAGGCGTTTTAGTGCTAACGCGCGTGAATTACCAAGGCCATGACACGGCGGCGCTATATCAAAGGGCTGATTAACACTATTTGAACTACATACAGCATCGCGAAATGGGAGCGCTACACAAAATCGACCATCCTTTTCTCGCGTAGTTGTCTTTGAAAACCATTCTTCACATCGTTGTTCTTCAGTTATTGACTCATTGGGTGTTGTGACTTCCTCGATATCCCAAAAGGAACGCATTAGATTATCCAAATTTACTAATGTCACTAATAATGAGTGTACAGGTGACATGAATTTTTCGTTTAATGCACCACATATTACCCAGCCAAAATGTGTATTTATCGCTGAAGGTAAACCTTTGTGGTGGATAATACCGCCTCGAGGGCGCATTACGTGCGGGAATAAGTCACCACCTATTAAAACGTCTATCGGTGCAGGTATATCGAACGCGGGATCCGCTAACAATAAATGTTTATATGCCTGGCGAACGGCGGACGGTAGTGGTGAGGTAGGCATTGTCGTTGTGATCTGCTGTAATATTACAACATCGTTGCAACAAAAGGCCGGTTCCGATTGTTTTCGCGGTACGAAAAAACAACTGGTTTCTCCACTTAATTCATTTACCGGGTTTTTTCCAAGACCGATAATACTGCGTAAACACTTGCGTCTAGGTAGACCAAGCCTAGATGCACATCGCGTTGTTATTGATAATCACCTCGACTATTACGCGCACGAATAATTGCAGTACCTAAAATGACGGTAGTATTTGACTGCGATAAACCGCAAAATTCCTGAACATTAGATTCTGAGGTACCAGGAGTTTCACTATTTGAGCTGACTGGTATTGAGTTTTAGCTATTTACGATGTTAGAATGCAGTAAAGTATGGTGACGCTTCTGGCATTTCGAACATGACAACTTAGATTTGCACTCCGCGGCGCGATGCATATCACTCAAACACGAAAAACATAACTTCTCTTTAACAACGGCTTCACGCCGTTTTTCAGTAGTATATGATCGAAAAACATTACACCGATACGCTGGATGAGAGTCTGAACAAAATGGGCATTTTTTATAGTTTTTTGCTGATCCTGTTAATACAGTTCTTTGTTGTGCATAGAATCTACCTATGTTATTTTTGTTTGCGCGTTCTTTCTTATCGGTATTGTAACCTTTGATATTTTCTAAAATTCGACAGCGTTGTCGAACAAAAGAAATCAGGTCGTCTATATTTGGAATTGTAGATTGCGATACTGTGGCCTCAAATAAACGACGCGTGTCTACGTCTAATACCTTAGCACCCATATAAAAAAGTAAAAACCCAGATAAATGTTCCACACCGAGATTTTTTATGGCTGTTACATTGTCATTAAAAACATCAATAAAATCATTTAAGGCTGATAATGATTCTGTTATTATTGGTTTAAACGAAAATAACCTATCCAAATGTACTGATGCCAATAGTCGTTGGTTTTCATACCGCTCCATAAGAGCGCTCCATGCGTCATCATAGTTAGCGGCAGAAAGTGGGTAAGATTTTATTGTGTTTAACGCCGGACCAGACAAACATGATAATAATAGATGAAATCGGTCGATTTTATTAATATTTCTAGCGGAAACAAAAGAATCAAATCTTTCATAAAACGAACGCCATTTTTCGGGATTACCATCAAATTTAGGCAAATCAACATTCGGTAAATATGTGTAATATTGTGATTGTGGCGTTATAGAAGCAGGCATATTATTTGTGGAAGTAGTTGGTGTTAATACTGCATTTATTTTAAAAATAAGCGTCTCCATTACATCGGTTACTGGAGAATCAATACATTCAAATTCTTCGACCATATCTTGGTTAACCGAAGCTTCAATCACAGAGTGTTGGTGTTCACGAAATTGCGTAACATGGGAATCTAGTTGGCGCGAACGAATTTCCAACTCAGACATTAGTGATGGGTCACTTTTAACCATTTCTGCGACTGCGTATATTTCTTTAATTGATTTCAGCGCACGATCGCGTGATAAACGGGCAATAATAAGCGCCTTGTTCTTTTCGGCGGGTTCGGTTTTCGCACTTTTTCTCGGCATGATTACTATAAAATATCCCGGTTCGAAGGGCCAAATGTTTGAACGGAACGCCCGGTTATAATATGCGGGTTAGTTACTGTTCGTTTCTGGAGTATTTATATCATGCAGGAGAAAGAATTTGGGAGTGGACTGTATAAATGAGTAAATGTATTGAAAGAATATAAAACAATAAACTGTATTTTAACATAAACTAAAATATTATATATATCAATGTGGGTAGGGGGGTCCTTAATGCTAATGCCACAATGCGTCAAATAAAACAAACAATAAGATAAAAATATGACAAAACGATATAACTAATAACTACTTATCTATACTGATGATGACTGGTTGATGCGAATGAAATCGTTGGAATGATCATTGAACCAGAAAATGTATTGTTGCGAATAGTATGGGCGTATCGCAAGGGCGATAAAAACAATAACGCACAAAGGTG